TAACAACAAACAATACGTATCTGCATTCGGTATACCTATGCGCCAAGTAGCATAAGTTATTCATCCGTTTATATACAGGGTGACTTTGAAGTTGAGTCATTAATTTTCAGATAATGATTGTAGAAGGAAGATAAACCAAAATATGTGTGTAAAAATAAAAAACAATTAAAAAAAAATTTTTACCTTGTTTTATAAAGTATCCTCCCGACAAGTATTTCAGTGCGGACCTGTATTTGATCGTGAGGTCTTGGAGCACCGGCATGCAGTCCCCTGTGTGGTCTTAAGTCACCTGATTCACGAGCCCGTTGTACTATATTAACAAAGGCACGAGGGGTTGGTTGCACTCGATTGGGAAACCGATCCGCATAAACATGTGCCATTTTTTATTTCGTTTGAGCCACGCAACAGACACCACTATTCAAACGCGTTACCGACTGACACTGACTGTATACAACTGACTAAAATAATTGTAAAAACATCGTTCCAAATTCTTTTGCTTTTTTGTTTCCGATGCGATGAACCAAACACGAGCACATAATATTATTATTGAGACAGGGCGGTACTCAAACTTCCAAAGGGCTATAACTTTGTTAGTTTAATTTTACCAGAAAAATGGTAAAGGAAAAAAACATTTCTTTTGATCAGATCTACTCACTGTTAAAATAAATGACTCAACTTCGAAGTATATATAATTATCGATCATTCAAGTACCAATTTCGCCAACGTGTTTACGTTGACGACCAGAATCGAAGATTAACTTATTGCAACTGGTTTTTGATTAAATATTTGTACAGAGAAGATGTACGTTGTTCGCTTAAAATTATTCATTAAAAGTCGGTTTACCAACTTGGGTACAACCAATAATGAATGTGGTGCAAGCAACGACTGATAAAGTTGAACTTTGCCGTGATCAAGGAGGACGCCATTTTGAACTCTTAGAAGCTTGATGGCATATTTTTGAATTTTATTTTTTGTTTTGATGTAATTGAATTCATTTATATAGTTTACTCCAACATAGGCCAACACGCCTATTTCTTTTTCTTCACTGACGGTAAAGTTATTCGCACTTTCTTCTGGTTCGATGCATATTTTTTGTATTTCGAAAGCAACACCTTCAATTTTTTATCACGGAAAAATACAATAACGAACAATACAAGGACTTAGTGCATAGATATACCGAATGCAGATACGTAATATTTGCCGTTTCTTACAATTACCCAGAAAAATAGTGAAAATAAAATAAGAGTGTGTAGTGTCATATTATTCGTAAGGAAATGGTCTCTTGGAAAACGCCGACGAGCCACCTATTAGAAAAATCAAGTAAACTGAAAAAACTGTTGTTTGTAACATTAAGAAAATGTTTAAAATGACAGTAAGGTCGTTTGCCTGGAAATCGTATTCTTCCCGTATTACTTGATCAAAAATGAAGCTGTTAACAGGATCCATGGCATGCTAAATCGAAAAATAAAAATTGCTAGATAAAAATGACTTCGTCAAGTGAGGCGTTTGTGAGTTCACAATGTCATTATCGATCCAAGTAAGCAAAAAAATATAGCGTGCTCCATTTAAAAATCGAATGTTGGAGTCGCTTCCAGTCAAACCGCTAGTACGTCAAAGCAAGTGAATATGTAAAAATGATCAGCGACCTCTCGAACGTCAAAAAACGAAGTCTGAGCGATTTTTATTTTTCGTGTTTTTGTCCCTAGATCAGCCACCATTAGACCGATTTTCAAAAACCGTAAGGCCTTTTCATCGCTCAATCTTTTGGTTGGGATTCTCGCAATTAACAAAACATTAGCCAGTAATTGGAGAACAGAAATAACCTTGGCCTTGTGCTTCAGTTGTGATTGGACCAGTCCCATAAACCACCTCTTTAAGTTCTCCCCAATACCAGAAATCCATCGGATTGAGGTCGGGAGATCTTGGTGCCCATTTTCGAGAACCAGGAGCATTTCCACCGATCCAGCGATTTGGATAATGTTCATTCAAATACTGAATGACGCCTCTAAAAATGTGTTGTGGTGCCCCGTCATGAAGAAACCACAAATTCTGTCTCCGTTGTAATGTTGTCTAAGGTCTGTTCCAAAAGTTCAGGTAGGTTATTGGCTAGAAAGCTTATGTATCCGTCTCCTGACAACTTTGGGGGTAACTCGAAAGGGCCAATTACCCGATCGTCAAGAATATCCGCCCAGATATTTATTTTAAAACGTTGTTGGAAATAACGAACGGTATGAGGATTTTCTTGGGCCCACGTGTGAGTATTATGGAAATTTAATATCCCGTCTCGCGTAAAAGTACATTCGTCCGTCGCTATTTGTAAATAAACACGATGACGTACGCGAACAAAAACAAAACAACACGCCCGATTCTCTGCTCGACAAAACGATAAAGTAATTCATCTATGCAAAACGATAACTAAACGCTGTTACCGTTTGCGATCGATTGCCGGTTCGATAATAGTCATGAAAGACCGACACGCTTTTGTCATGTGTGTTTTAAATATTTAATTTCATGAAACTTACTTACTTATTGACTACAAAATTTGGCTTAACTTAGATAAACTTAATGTCATTTATTTGTTAATTACCCAATTTAGAAACGTCTTAGATTAGATCATAAAAATTAGTAACTCTTGGACCATGGGTCATATGAACTGTTTGACTTTTTGACCGCCTTATTACCCATTTCAATACTGACTACCATAACGTTTACACCCTGCATGTTACGTACCACGTTACCTGATCTATATTGACGAATTATATCTACAACCAGTCGACCAAACGTGCAGAACAGACAATGTTAACGGAACGTGAGCAAAACGAACTATCAAGCCTCAAAGAGCAAAGGGAGTTCAGCTTTTCCATGATTTTCCACTCAGTTTCACAAAGAGCACGCAAAGGCTTAAGCTCTGCTTACATACAGCTAATGCGCCATAGAGAACTTGCAACATGCAATGCTTGGAAATTGGCGACAAGGTAATTGCAAAGGGACCCGAACTCTACAAAATATAATGCTTTCAACAAGCCCATTTTCCCAGGACAAATATACATATTTTCTGCTTGGCGTACGTACAGTTCGCATCTAGCTCGGCAACTATATTACCTTCTTTTTCTTGGTCTCAGAAATGACGACATTTGCATCACCCGAGTTTACGCTGGCACTTCTACGTTTTGAGTATTCCCGTAGCCAATTGAATAGTATAAAGGATCGTTTCACGCTTATAAGTTTCTTTGTGTTCGTTTAAAATCTCAATAGGGACACGCATAATGGTGTTCTATATTATATATTTCTCGAGGTAATGGCTCGAAGGTAAACAACAAAGGCTACCTGCAGATAGTCCGGGATTCCGGGAGGATATGTCAACACAAGATGCCATGAAATTAGTCTCATCAGAAATGAGTCAGTGGATTACAACTTGCGTTGGATAATACATGATAGGACAAAATCGGTTGCTTTTGACCTAATCTATCACCCCTTAACAGGAATACGTGATATTACATGTGACCCTGTATAAGTCTTCAAACAGAGCCGTTACAAAATACCTCTTCTAAACCTTAAAAGTGTCATCTCAATGTAAGCCATTGTGAAGCAAAAATTCTCAGCCAATATTACACCTTACGTCCTAGCTTGTATCCTTATCTGTCAGCCAAGCCGTGGTATAAGTGTAGTAATAAAAACGCTCGCAACGAATTTTCAAATAATGGATTCCGACGTCACATCACGTATTTGATAAGTGGCAATATCGACGGAGGTGACAGCAGCAGCCCATCTACGCTTATATTGCACTTTTAGAAGAGCATCGGCAGACGCGAATATATGACTATCACCGATTCGATAAAAGTTTACAGCGAATATCAGTGCAGGGATAAAAACGATTTCAGAAGTGGGATCTAGATTTCCCCCCCTGCTTCACGCGATAGGCGACAGGTCCTCAAACAGACAAATTGAGTTACGTGGACTGATTTTATTTTCTCACGTTTTGTTTTATTGTATTCTGTTCCCTTAACCGCTTGTTTTCCCAGGTTTTAGCGATCTCATATTTGAAGAAGTACAAAATATGCCATTTTCGATCCTGGAAGACAATATAAAAAAACGAAAAGGTTGATGTTGTCGTATTTAGCCATCCATCAACCATCCTTTCATGCTGGTGTGGTGGTGCCCCGTCATGAAAAAAACACAAATTCTGTCTCCGTTGTAATGATATGTTGTCTAAGGACTTCTGGTAACAAGGCCTGCAGTCGTACATGGTAGGGATAAAGAAAATTTTCCATTGTCTTCAAAAAGCATAAATCCTGTGTGTAAAGTGTATTGCAACAACGATCTCACGATGAACAGGCAGATATCTAACAGCTGCCTTTATAATTATAATCTAACTGAGCTGTAGTGTTTACAAATGCAATCCTGTTCTGTGGAAATAAGCGGTCAGACAAAGTTAGTACGCCCTCAGCAAACATGTAGATGCTAAAGCGAACTGAGAGACGTAACAGTAAAAAGGATTTACTAGTTAAGTTTAGGAGGACATGTTGATGTTTATTCGCTGTAAAAGGCCAGTAACGAATGCTACAGTCCTCCTTCAGCTTTTATTTACATTTTACATCGCAGTTGAGGATGATGGTTATGAGGTTCCTAGCAACATGATGGCAAGTATATCGTTAGACTTTCAAATAGGCTTCTCATGAATTTAGAAATGATCAAATGTAATGTTTTTTGTTGTCGTGTTTATTCTTAGTAGCTGTATTTATTTATCTCAAACATTTTCTTTATCAATTAATGTTGTAATAAGATAATATAGCTTTCTTCACATGTCACATAGTGGGTAGGATTTTACCTCTGATATTCAAACCTATCAAAGTTTATGGAAAATTGAACGCTATTCAATGGAATGCATCTTTAGATTAATATTTATACGAACTTTTTACTGCTAATTTTGAATGTACTTTCTATCACCACAAATATTGGTATAAGTAGCTATTATTCTAACATCGCTTTGCTTGTTTTAGGCAAAATGACGGAAGAGGTATGGTGCACGCATCAGGAGGTATCGCCCCTGCCCCTGCAGCCACTACTCTCACCATCGCCGACCCCGCATCGACGCTAACTCGACCTTAATTCACGTTGTGGCCGACAGATGGCAGTGGCTTGACAGCGCCAGCCAGCAGCCATGATAGTGAATGGGATGGCTTCATTTTCGGCGACCCTCACCACTGCTTCTAGTATGATTTACAATAACACCAGGTCTAATGTGACCAGTCATGAGCAGCCTCATCCCGATTGGACTGACCTGCTCGTCTTGATCATCAAAGGATTTATATTCGGTAAGGATCAGCAGATGGTCCATAAATTTGTTCCCAGCTTCGTGCTATAATGATACTGACATGCGAGTTGCTCAATTTTACAATTCGGCCACGGCATATAAATATACTAAGTGACATATAAATCCGAACACCCAGTTTAAATGGTTTTATTTTAATAAAATTCTGTATAAGTACTTAATGAAGCATAATAAGTAAATGATAAAAATTTCAAAATGATTGCACTGCTTTAAAGCCCTTTGACCTTTAATAATGTGTGGATGCACCCTGATGTGCTACGCATTCTCCAACGCGCCTAGGCATGCTTCTGATCAGGTGGTCAATTCCTCCTGTGGTATCTCATTCCAGGCAACCACCAACTCCTCTCGAAGTGCTTCTAGAGTCTGAGGAGGACGTTGCAAATTGAGCAACCTCCTACCCATCATATCCCACACGTGCTCAATTGAGAATAAGTCGAGAGATCTTGGTGGCCATGGTAACAATGTGACATCATTATGTTGAAAGAAGTCTATTGTGACTCTTGCAACATGTGGTCGGGCATGAAGATTAAAGGTGACCTGGAACCATAAGCTATAGCACCCCAAACCATAACTCCAACAGTGTGATGAACATGTCTTCCAACAAAAAACTTTGGATTCCTCCTTTCACCACGTCGCCTTCTAACCCTGGCACGACCATCGTGCATGCCTAAACAAAATCGAGACTCGTCACTAAAGACAATACTGTTCCATCCCTGATCCCAGAGTGACGGTGTCTGCACCACTCAAGGCAATTACGTCGGTGTTCTCGAGTTAAAGGGAGGACCCAGTGTGGCCGGTATGAAAACAAGCCAAAACTTCTCATTCGTCGGTAAACACTTCGCATGCCAATAGGTCTTCCGTGTTCTGCAAACCATTCATTTGCAATGGACCTGGTAGTGGAGAAACGGTCCTTTAAGGCCAATAATCTTAGGCGGCGATCTTCACGGTCTGTTGTTCGACGGCGGCGTCCAGTGCCCCTTGCTCTTTGCGTACGGCCTTCTCGAAGCCATGCCTGACAACACCTAACCACAGTGTCTACACTTCTTTGCACTCTAACTGCAATTGCCCGAAAAGAAAGTCCAGCTTCCCGAAGTCCCACTATACGGCCCCTATCAAACTCACGAAGTTGACGAAATCGTACAGGTCTCCGTACTCTAGGCATTGTAACCGATCGAAAAAGAATGCCAAGAACCAAAATCCGCCATCGTTGATTCTTTACTGCGGCTGAAATATTCATTTTTAGAGCGTTAGTGAATTAAAAAAAAGCAGTATAAAAACCGGAATGTACAACTGATAAGGCTGAAAATTTTTTCACTTGTTATTTACAGTAAGATAAATACATTCACCAACTTTTATTAAAATAAAACCATTTGAACTGGGTGTTCGGATTTATATGTCACTTAGTGTATGTTATCCTAGGTTTTTCTCTCTTTTGAAATTAGTTCTTTCAGATGTTTTATTGAAATTTTATTGGATAATCCAGGTTTTGCTACAAGTACGGAAAACTCACTTCCTTTGGCACCTAATTTCCAATCTAAAACAGGTATTTTTACTTACAGGAGGCACCAACAATTAGTCCTATCGGTTTCGGTCTAAGGCTGTATCAAAAGCCTCATATCGCCATAGGCTCTAGCATGTCAAATCTGTGGCTAATAGTGCATCAACCAATTTTACATATTCCCTCCACGTTGTTTTTAACAGTGATGTATTATCAAAACTATTACAAAATAAAAGCTTCTATTAATAGTTTGCTGATGAAGCCTATATATTCATCTGGTCCATAGAAAGTGTTGATAATCATCAAAACTGCTGCAAAATTCAGAAAAGCGTACAAACAGCACTCTATTTAATTAAACCTATTTAGGATAATTCTAAATTATTCACCCTGCAGGCAGGCAGTTATTCAAATATTTATCCCGCCTTGATTGAGCTACTTTCCATACAACGTTACCACATGCCACAAAATCCCTCGAACCAGAGAGTTTCAAATGACCTTGAAGATTGCCAAATTTAAGAAGCCACCTTCTAATGTACAACGAATTATTTCATTCACATTTAATAGTATGGAAGAGCAAATTACCATCCTTCAGCTTTTCTGGGTATATGGTTCTATTTGCGCAAAAGTTGCTCGAAACAGGATATTCTCTAATTCCTGACGAAATCTTCTGCAGTCCTCGCTCTGTTTCATTTATATAATTAGCATCCCTTCACGCACAGACCCTGGCGTACGGGGGTCACACTTTTAGTATTTTTAAAAGGTAAAAGGCGTATTTTTTTACTTAAATTACTATTTTTTGTTCAGGATATATGATATATCAGAAGCGTATATTTATAGCAAATACTAAAACCACATTAAGTAGGTCGAGGCTAACATCAAATGTGGAACTTTTTTACAACAAAAAAATTGCTTCTTAGGGTGGTAAATAAGGAAGAAAGGTTATAGCCTAATGGTAATCTTGTTTTATATGAGGCTTTCTTATATTACCGTTAGTAAACAAATCTTATGTTGCTGTTTTAAACGTGGATACACGAAACATAATCGATTGGTCCTTGCAAATCTTTAACAATAAAACAGTAATGAAGTCTTGAAGCTAGAGATTATATGTTGAACTTCCATTAATTAGATTTGGCAACATGTATCAGATAGTACCAGCACTCCCGAAAGATATCAACTTTGTTCAAAATAACGTCTATCTGGTATCAACTAAAACATTCACTAAACTATTGCTATCAATGGAGTTAACCTTCCCCTTATTCACTTCATAGCCCTGGTATCCCTAATCCGTTGGAAAATGTTTCCAGTTCCTGCCCTATATAGTCGAAATCCCTTCTCGCTCGAGAATTGTCATATAATCGCTCAGTTGCGTTCAGAAGGGAAAATTAGTCCTCGGGAGTTTCCGAAAGTTTACAACCTTAATTTATCGCCAACTTCTCTCATTAATTCGCCGCTATTAGGAAAATTCTGATGCAAATGTAACAGTTCATTTTAAGGAAATAAGGGCTGCTAAACTAGTTTGCCGACAGGGGGAGGGTTATGGGGGGAAGATGGCTAGTACGTTCTGGCTTCTGGAAATAATAATTAATATGGATAGTTACACGTGTCAATGTTAGTCTAACTTCCTCAAAGTTATTATAATCTATCACGCTCCAACTAGCAAATTATACAGTATATTATACACTACTATACAGTGACACCGACTCACTGATTCATCTTGACACAGGCAAGTAAAGGGTTGCCAGAGACAACGGAAATTTGACATTAAAATTGGAATTGGATTGTAGATGTCGGTAAGAATTATACCTGTTTTCAGTAGGTTGGGGTTAACATCAAATTTGAGTCAATAAAGTAGCAGTGAATTCTTGGAGTTAGAGACTATATTTCGATCAATAACTTCCATAAATTAGATTTGGCAAAAGGAATTAGATAGTAATATTTAATACCGAAAGATATCAACTTTGCTTAAAATAACACAACCTAAATTTATCGCCAGCTTCTGTCATTAATTCGCAAATTTTGGCTTTTGGCTTTTGAAAATAATTATTAATATTTTATATATATATATATATATATCGACAGTTACACGTGTGAATGTTAGTGTAACTGCCTGATAGTTATTATAATGCATCACGCTCCAACTAACAAATTATACAGAATATTATACACTACTATACAGTGACACCGACTCACTGATTCACCTTGACCCGGCAGAGACGGCGTATAGATTGGATTTGGATTGTAGATGTGGATGAAAATTTGCTGCTAGTACCCTTTGAATCTACACCGTACATAAGTATATGAAGTTATGATACGCATGTGATTTGATCATCTGTTGCAGGTACAATAATAGTGATGGCAGTTCTCGGCAACGCGTTGGTGATCATCAGCGTGCATCGCCACCGCAAACTGCGCGTAATCACCAATTACTACGTAGTCAGTTTGGCGATGGCAGATATGTTGGTGGCCCTTTGTGCGATGACCTTCAATGCTAGCGTCGAACTGACAGGTGGAAAATGGCTCTTCGGATACTTTATGTGCGACGTCTACAACAGCCTGGATGTGTACTTCTCTACCGCGAGTATTTTGCATCTGTGCTGTATCAGCGTAGACAGGTGAGCTGTTCTAGAAACTTGACTATATTTCTTCGGGTCATAACGGAAAAACCGAAAAAAAAACTATACGGAGTGACGAAAAAAGGTAAGCACCTACGTATGTTTATTCGATTTTAATAATTTTTGGAATGTATGTTCAGTGTCCCTTACAAGTAAAATGATTAAATTTTCCGCTTGATTCGTCAACCGACTGCAGAAGCTGGTACAACATTGTGTTGAGGATCCATAAACAAATAAATCACCCCTCTTGAGAAATGTTTGTCAAATTACACTTTTGCACGAGAAAAGTTTGATATAAAAAATGGTAACTATGTATATCATTATTCCGTGTCGTCAGTCTCGTAACAACAATATTAGTATATTTATGACATATTTTCAGGAATTTGTTTTGTTGTTTTGGGATATACGTTCTGCTCTAAAAGTGTTGTCATTGTTTTTCAAGTATAGCTCTATACACTACTATATAACGACACCGACTCACTGATTAAACTCAGTTGAAATCAAATAGCCTTATAGAGAAATTTGTTACTAAAGGGAGACGCTAAGATTGCAACAAAGTCCTGCCCTTTGTCATTTGAACTGTTTTGTCGTAGTATTAGTCATTGTTGAGACGTATTATAGATTTCAAACAACAACAACTTTTCATAAACACTAGCTAGAAACGTGTTATTTGTAGCCTAATTGGGTGTTTATTCCAATCAAAATCGTAATCTGTTTACGACTATCTAGACAATTCTATTGTAAGTCGGTGCTAACGTTACGAAGCTTTTACAAGAAAGCTAATATTCGTGCAGGCAAAAAAGATACGTGTGAAAAACACAGACATATTCGGGTCGACCTCGATCCACCCAATTTCAATAGTTAATGCCTTGTCCACACAACTGTCCTTAAGCTATCTAGACAGAACAAAGGCCATGTTTGCTTTGTTAATGAAACTTGATAGCGTGTCTGCGCACATTCTGATATTCTTTAACGGTATTACCCTCTTACGAAGGGCACACAATGTGAACATACGAGGTACGTCCAAGATTTTCGTTCACGATTAGGCATAATAGAGAAGTTTCGTTCCTTTTTTGTCAATCAATTTCAAAGAAGCCGATTTTTTTCAGATACTACGCGATAGTTCGTCCATTGGAGTATCCCATAACTATGACCCACAAGACTGTCTCCTTCATGTTGGCCAACGTTTGGCTGCTACCGGCACTGATCAGCTTCACGCCCATCTTCCTCGGCTGGTACACTACGGAACAACATAAGGTATAGCCACTTATACGCAATTGGAAAAACACAAAAGTTTTTCCTATATTTTAAATCATATTTGTCATTTTAATATCCGCAAAGGCATTCGGATATCCATACTTTAGTTATTTTGTTATAGTAATAATGAAGATAGTGGTGCTTTTGATAACCTTTAATTTTGAACATTGGACCAAATGTCACTGCGTAGGAGGCTCAAAATCAACTTGGTGGTCGATCTTTTTTATAATTTAAGTTAAGTGTGGTGTTTTATCAACACATAGTAGATTTGATGTATTGATTCTCGCTCTCACAAATTGTATCCATATGCCGGTCTCCGAAAGCTCAAATGTCGTTAGCCAGGTGGCTTTCAACCTCAATGAGGGTTAAATCGGTGCCCGGTAGTTTAACCTTTGACCTCTGGAAATCAGTGTTGTTCGGCTCGTCGAACAAAAATGTCCAGCCCAGTTTAATCCCACGAAATGTTAGGACGGTTCAAAAGGGGACAGGTACAATTCCACTTTGGCCCTTTTTACTAAATTATTAATGCACATTATAAATTTGCCAGAATACACATTTCAGGTGTTTACACGTGTTTCCAAAGTTTGTGACGATTGATATCCGATTGCCTCTCATCCATTCTAAGATCTGCTGTTCTAATTGATGTTTTTTCCTTTTTAGGAATTCCGTCTAAAAAACCCGAACGCGTGCATATTCGTAGTGAACAAACTGTACGCAGTGATCAGTAGTTCAATCAGCTTCTGGATCCCCGGAATAGTGATGGTGACCATGTACTACCGGATATACAAGGAGGCGGTGCGACAACGTAAGGCGTTGACTCGAACCTCCTCAAACATCATCCTGAATTCCATCCATCAACATCGGACGTCATATCGAGAGCGGTACGGTAATGCATATAGGTAGAGTCACTTTATTGTTTTTTATGGTGATCGTTTCTTGAATAATATACTCACCGGGCGAGTCAGGTTAGCTTCAGTCCTATGCACTTTCGTAGAAAATTATTCGCTCGAAAACTGGGCATTGTCTCAATAAATGTGTAAGTGTATAGATGTATATCCAACAGTAATCTTCGCACTCTCAAAATATCTGAAATATGGGTTCGTCAGGGTTCTATTTTGGATCGAGTGTTGTTCTTCCTAAATATCAACGATTTAGAACATTGCTTTCTTGAAGGCGGGTTCACCCTTCTTGGCAAGCAGTTACAATCGTTCATTCCTGACACGTAGTTGAGCACAAATTTTAATTCTCAGTAACGCGTTTTTACCACTTTTTCTCTATTTTCTGCGGAGCCCAATTTATCGTGTACGTATAGTTACAGCGTTGCCGTTTTTCGTTCTCAAAACCAAACTAGGAAAGCGTTCCTTCTCATCTTGAACAGAGATTCTCAACGATTGAAATTCCAAATAAATGTTTCAAATAGACTAAAAGGTATTGGATGGAAAAAGAACAATAAGACCCGAAAATAATGAATAGTCGTTTTCACCTTTCTTCTATCGTAGGTATGGCGATCACTACCTTCATCCTTCCGATGGTGAATTGACAACCATCGGACAAATCAACGGCCGCAGGAGTACCAGCACAGGTTCAGCAGTGTCGTACGGGACGACTGTTACAGAGTTCAACACGGCCATGAACAGTAGATCGGACAGCAAGGCTGCCACAGAACTCAATGTCAATGGTGAGTGTCCCACAATGCATGAACTCTTAGTACAGTATTGTAGGAAAACAGTCTTTTTCAAACTGCATAGGATAAGCTCCTTCTTTTCAACTTTCAACATTCAAATTTCGAACTTTCGAGTTTCGATGTTCGACTTTAGACTTTTGACTTTCGACTTTTGACTTTCGACTTTTGACTTTCGACTTTTGGCTTTCAACCTTCGACTTTCAGCTCTCAACATTCTATTTTTAACTTTCAACTTTCAACTTTCAACTTTCAACTTTCAACTTTCAACTTTCAACTTTCAATTTTCAACTTTCAACTTTCAACTTTCAACTTTCAACTTTCAACTTTCAACTTTCAACTTTCAACTTTCAACTTTCAACTTTCAACTTTCAACTTTCAACTTTCAACTTTCAACTTTCAACTTTCAACTTTCAACTTTCAACTTTCAACTTTCAACTTTCAACTTTCAACTTTCAACTTTCAACTTTCAACTTTCAACTTTCAACTTTCCGCTTTCCGCTTTCCACTTTCCACTTTCCACTTTCAACTTTCAACTTTCAACATTTAACTTTCAACTTTCAACTTTCAACTTTCAACGTTCAACTTTCAACGTTCAACCTTCAACTTTCAACTTTCAACTTTCAACTGTCAACTTTCAACTTTCAACTTTCAACTTTCAACTTTCAACTTTCAACTTTCAACTTTCAACTTTAACTTTCAACTTTAACTTCAACTTAACTTTCAACTTTAACTTTCAACTTTAACTTTCAACTTTCAACTTTCAACTTTCAACTTTCAACTTTCAACTTTCAACTTTCAACTTTCAACTTTCAACTTTCAACTTTCAACTTTCAACTTTCAACTTTCAACTTTCAACTTTCAACTTTCAACTTTCAACTTTCAACTTTCAACTTTCAACTTTCAACTTTCAACTTTCAACTTTCAACTTTCAACTTTCAACTTTCAACTTTCAACTTTCAACTTTCAACTTTCAACTTTCAACTTTCAACTTTCAACTTTCAACTTTCAACTTTCAACTTTCAACTTTCAACTTTCAACTTTCAACTTTCAACTTTTAACTATCAACTTTCAACTTTCAAGTTTCAACTTTCAACTTTCAACTTTCAACTTTCAACTTTCAACTTTCAACTTTCAACTTTCAACTTTCAACTTTCAACTTTCAACTTTCAACTTTCAACTATCGACTATCAACTATCAACTTTGAACTTTCAACCGTCAACCGTCAACCTTCAACTTTCATGTTTCAACTTTCAACATTCAACTTTCATCTTTCAACTATCAGTCTCAACTTTCAACTTTTAAAATCAACGTTCAACTTTCAACTTTATTAATCGTCTATCAGACCTGGTTAACAAGTATTGGAACAAGTCAATAATTAAAATTCAAGTTCGAATTAGTCAAAGAGTGTGTCATCTGCAAAGAACAACAATATATACATTAAAAATATACATGTCCAAGCTGCGAATTTACGTGCTGTTGAGAAACTTGTTAAAACTTGCTGACTTGCTGAAGTATTGGGGAAAACCTTGAATGTGGCTAAATCATTTCTACTTTTCCCTGACTTTATTTTACAAAATATAAAAAAGTAATGGAACTTTTTCAATGGCACCCATGAAAGTGTTTTTAAACTTTGTGCCCGTCGTTTTGTTTTTCATTTTTTATATGGTCCGAAAAAGTACGCCCTGTATCACATGTTGCATTCATTTTCTTTGTTATAATGAAAAATTCGTTTTTCTGATTTTTGTTTAAGTTCGTTTAAGTAGGCGATGGAAACCAATGCTGGACTTAAAATGAAGTATCTGTCATCGAGTATTATTGTTATTCTGAATTGTTAATATTGCTTTATTATCGTCCAGGGGGTCATTTCAGAAATGAAGAAAAGTTTGACATTTCAGCATTTCTGCGTCTTTCGTTTTCTCTAAATCGATCATAATCATTCGTTTCTATGAAATTATTATCCGTATCCGGTTTCATATCAAGGACGTATCAAAATTGTCTGAACCGAAAAATCATTAGTTTGACCCATATTTCAACTAATAACTTTAATTAATATCTCTAAGCTCGTCAAAATAATAAGCAAAACTTTGAGCCGTACTTCTGCAGGAAGAAACTTCCAAGTATCGATTATCTCCCAATAGAGATTTCAGGTTAGTTCCTTATACGGAAGTTGGGAAACTTGCATAGAGTCACTCCAGAGCACTGATTATCTTCATGGCAGATTACGAAAGTTCTTCGGATATATCTTGAATTATATATTATCCAAGGGTGTATCTACTGTACCTGCGAGAGTGGCTTCACTTGAATCCACTGTGAATTTTGAATAAGCTAGTGTAATAACGACGTTAGTCATTCACTTTAAAAAATTCCCAAAAGTAGTTATAGTACTTGAAAGGTAATGTCTTGCCTTGTCCTTAGTATGACGAGGAGCCATTCTTTGGGAGAACTTTCTGTACAAGCAACAAAAATATTTGGGCTCTACGAAGGATTTCACAACGGTGATTTATGCGGAGTTATGGTAAGATATGAGGAATTACAGTGAAGTACTAGGAATTACGATGAATTATGAGAAACTACGGTGAACTACGTGTTGCAAAGGATTGACAGGTATTATTGTAAATTATGGGGAATCACGGTAAACAATAAGGAATTGCGGTGAATTATTTGAACTGCAATGAATGACGCATTACAGGAATTTTGGTGAGTTGAGGGGAAATGCCGTAAAATATGAGGAATTACGATGAATTTTGAGGAATTACGATGAATTATGAAGAATTACGATGAATTATGGGGAACTACGGTGATTTGAGCATTATATGAATTCCGGTGAATTATGGGGAATACCGTCAATTATGAGGAATTACGGTGAATTTTGAGAAACTACGGTGAACTGCGTGTTGCAAAGGATTTACCGGTATTATTGTGAATTATGGGGAATTACGGTAAACTATAAGGAATTACGGTGAATTATTAGAACTGCAATGAATGACGCATTACAGGAATTTTGGTGAGTTAGGGGGAAATACCGTAAAATATGAGGAATGACGATGAATTTTGAGGAAGTACAATGAATTATGAAGAATAATGTAGAATTATGGGGAACTGCGGTGAATTAAGCATTATATGAGTTCTGGTGAATTATGGGGAATACTTGTCAATTATGAGGAATTACGGTGAATCATGAAGAACTACAGTGAATCACGCATTACAGCTATTCTGCTGAATTATGGGGAACTGCGGTAAATTATGAGGAACTACGGTAAATTTTGAGGAACTACGATGAATTTTGACGAATTACGATGAATTATCGGGAACTCCGGTAATTTATGTATTACAGGAAGTCTGGTGAAGTATAGGGAAATACGGTAAATTATAAGCACTTACGGTAAATTTTGAGGAATTACGATGAATTATGAAGAATTACGATGAATTATGGGGAATTACGGCGATATAAGCATTATATGAGTTCTGGTGAATTATGGGGAATACTGTCAATTATGAGGAATTACGGTGAATTTTTACGAACGACTGAATTATGAGGAACTACGGTAAACTACCCATTACGAAGGATTGACAGATATGAAGAATTACGGTGAATTATGAGGGATCATGGTAAAGTATGAGGAATTACGGTGAATCATGAAGAACTACAGTAATTCACGCATTACAGCAATTCTGGTGAATTATGGGGAACTACGGTAAATTATCAGGAACTACGGTAAATTTTGAGGAACTACGATGAATTTTGAAGAATTACGATGAATTATCGGGAACTCCGGTGATTTACGTGTTACAGGAATTCTGGTGAAGTATGGGGAAATACGGTAAATTGTAAGGAATTACGGTGAATTTTGAGGAATTGCGATGTATTATGAAGAACTATGTTGAATTATGGGGAACTACGGTGAATTAAGCATTATATGAATTCTAGTGAATTATGGGGAATACCGTAAATTAATAAATACCGATGAATTTTGAAGAATTACCATGAATTATCGGGAACTCCGGTGATTTACGTATTACAGGAATTCTGGTGAAGTATGGGGAAATGCGGTAAATTATTAGGAATTACGGTGAATTTTGAGGAATTGCGATGTATTATGAAGAATTACGTTGAATTATGGGGAACTACGGTGAATTAAGCATTATATGAATTCTAGTGAATTATGGGGAATACCGTCAATTATGAGGAATTACGGTAAATTTTTAGGAATTACGATGA